TGCTATAAGCAATAAGAAACAAAAGTTGTCACCAGGTGCGGTGGCTCATACCTGTAATCCCAGCACTTTGGGAGGCTGAAGTGGGCAGATCACGAGGTCGGGAGTTTGAGACCAGCCTGGCCAACATGGTGAAACCCCGTCTCTACTAAAAATACAAAAATAATTAGCCAGGGTGATGGCACGCACATGTAATCTCAGCTACTCTGGAGGCTGAGGCAGGAGAATCGCTTGAACCGAGGAGGCAGAGGTTGCAGTGAGCTGAGATTGCCCATTGCACTCCAACCTGGGCAACAGAGCAAGACTCCATCTCAAAAACAAAACAGAACGAAAAATCACAAGTTGTCCACCCTGGTGGGGCAGGATGGAATGAGCTACAGTCTCAGCTAGTGACTTATCAATGATAAGCTAAACACTTGAAGAACACGCTTTGAAGAATGGAAGGTCAGATAGAGAATTTGCATAAAGAAGCTAAGAACAATTTCAAGGCAGAGTCAGACATCTGATGTCCAAATTGAGAAACTGAGTCAAGAAACAGACTGCTGTTGTTGGAAATCACAGAAATGGTCGCAGAGTCTACCAAAAAAAAATGAATGTGCAGGTGGAAATCAGTAACTCTCACTCCCTCTGCAGATGGTTTGTCTCCAGTTGAATATCTAGGTCTCACAGCTTCCTCCTCCCCCTTACAAAGTCTGGTTGTTACAGAAAATGGAACCAGACCTCAAAGCTGGGTCATTTCTTCAATCCTCCATCTTTCTCAAAGCAAAGTGTGCTTGGCAGACGGCAAATGGACTAGAAGCCCTGTTGAACTTGCTGTCATTGACTCTGAGTGTGCAGCGGTGATCAAGCTAGCAGGAGTATGGACTGGGCTCCTTCCAGGACAAGTACATGGGGACAATAGGCTTCTCAAGAATGACCTTTCAGGAACAAAGGAGCTTCCAGGCTCCCATGGTACCAGTGGGGTGAGGTGGCAGGGATGGCAGAGGGACTTGTGGGGGATCTCCTGGTGCCACAGGCTGAGTAGCCTTGGAGGAAAACTGAGAGTGGTGGTCTGAGGAAAATCAGACTCAGAGATTTCTCTAGATTTGTAATTGTATTGTACTATTGTTTCTAGTAACAGGATGAAAATATGGGCCAGGCACAGTGGCTCATGCTTGTAATCCCAGTTGGGAGGCCAAGGTGTGTGGATCATGAGGTGAAGAGGTTGAGACCAGCCTGGCCAACAAGGTGAAACCCCACCTCTACTAAGAAAACAAAATTTAGCCAGGTGTGGTGGCAGGCACCTGTAATCCCAGGTACTTGGGAGGCTGAGGCAGGAGAATTGCTTGAACCCAGGAGGCAGAGGTTACAGTGAGCCAAAATTGCACCACTGCACTCCAGCCTGGGCGACAGAGCAAGACTCTGTCTTGAGAAAAAAAAAAAAAAGGAAATATTGTAAAAGTACTGAAAAGAGAGTGCTATCCATTCATAAATGGCCAATCTGGATATGATCTCTTCACAGACATCATTGCTCCTGAGAGGGAAGTGGCTCTCATGACACAAAACTCCGGCACCCAGCTTTACAGGCAGAGCCCATGATCACCGAACACATGGGTGTCCCCACCTTCAGCGCCAGGATCCAGCTATCAGGCACCACTCCTAGTCCTACTACTCCTATTTTGAGAAGAGCCAGAAAGAGATATGTGACTCCTATTGAATGGCATTGATAAGCAGTGCATTCTGGGAAGAGTGATCTTTGGCTGGGTTGTACTGGTGTGAACTAGCACTAGAGGAAGCAGGAATACAGATGGAACAACATAACCAAGAAAGTTTTTTCCACCTGTTTCTTTCTTCCTCCCTCAAGCTGAGATGGTGCCGTTAAACTCCAGCCAAAATGAGCAAACGACAATTCTAAACCACAGGTCTTTGCTTTGACAAATTCTGCATACCCGTCATACCTGTAAGTGGTGATGATTCATAATAATCAGTAATGAGTTATGGAGTGTTTTGTATGAGTCAAGCATAGTTGCACATGTGTTTACTCTTTCATCATCACAATAAGCCTATGAAACAAGAATTGTAATTATCACATATGTTAGGCCGTTCTTGAGTTGCTAAAAGGAATACCTAAGACTGTGTAATTTATAAAGCAAAGAGATTTAATTGGCTCATGGTTCTGCAGGCTGTACAGGAAGCAGGGCACCAGCACCTGCTTGGCTTCTGGGAAGGCCTCAGGGAACTTTTACTCAGGGGGAAAGCACAAGGGCAGCAGGCTGGTCACATGGTGAAAACAGGAGCAAGAGAGAGCACAGGGGAGGTGCCACACTTTTAAATAACCAGATCTGTCAAGAACTCACCATCTCAAGGAAAGCACCAAGCCATGAGGGATCCACCCCCATGACCCAAACATCTCCCACCAGGCTCCACCCTGGGGATTACCTTTCAACATGAGATTTAGAGGCGACAAACTATATCATTCCACCTCTCCTCAAATCTCATGTCTTTTTCACATTGCAAAATACAATCATCCCCTGCCAGTAATCCCCTGAAGTCTTAATTCATTCCAATACTAACTCAAGTTCAAAGTCCTACGTGGAGATGAATTCCTTCTACATATGAGACAATAAAAACCAAGCAAGTTATTTATTTCCAAGACACAATACAAGCATCAGGTAAATATTCCAATTCCAACAGGGATAAATTGGCCAAACGAAAGGGCTATAGGGCCCATGGAAGTTCAAAACCCAGTGGAGAAGTCATTAAATCTTAAAGCTCCAAAACAATCTCATTTGACTTCATGTCTCACGTTCAGGACACACTGGTGCAAGAGGTGGGCTCCCTTGGGCAGCTCTGCCTCTGTGGCGTTGCAGGGTTCAGCCTTTGCAGCTGCTGTCACAGATTGGAATGCAATGCCTGTGGCTTTTCCAGGTGCAGAGTGCAAGCTGCCAGTGGTACCATTCTGGGGTCTGGAAAACTTTGGCCTCTTTCTCACAGCTCCACTAGGCAGTGTACCACAGGGAATCTGTTCAGGGCCTCCAACCCCACATTTGCCCTCAGCACTGTCTTAGTACAGGTTCTCCGCGAGGGCTCTACTCCTGCAGCAGGCTTCTGCCTGGGTACCCAGGCTTCCTCATACATACTCTGAAATCTAGTTGGAAGCTGCCAAGCCTCTTTCACTCTTGAACTTTGTGAACCCATGGGCTTAACACCACATAGAAGCCACCAGGGCTTACAGCTCACCTCTGGAGTGGTAGCCTGAGCTATACCTCAGGTCCTCTGAGACAGCGCTAGCACCAGAGAGCTGGGATTTCGTGGAGCAGTGTCCTGGAGCTCCACAGGGTATAAGGGCCCTGGGCTAGGCCCACAAAAACATTCAGTCTTCCTGGGTCTCTGGCTCTGGGATGGGAGAGGCTCCCTCAGAGATCTTTGAAATGCCTTCAAGACCTTTTACCTATTGTCTTGGCTATCAGCTCCTGGCTCCCTTTTATTTAAGCTAATTTCTCTACCAACGGATTGCTCCACAGTCCTCTTAGATTCTTCCCCTGAAAATGGGCTTTCCTTTTCTACCACATAGCTGGGCTGAAAATTTTCCAAATTTTTATGCTCTGCTTCCCCTTTAAATATAACTTCCAACTTTAAGTCATTTCTTAACTTCCACGTCTGTGTGTAGGTTGTGAGCAGCCAGGTCACCTCTTAAAAGCTTTTCTGCTTAGAAATTTCTTCTAGTGAGTAACCTAAATTATCACTCTTAAGTTCAAACTTCCACAGATCACTAAGGCATGAACACGATTCAGCCAAGTTCTTTGCTAAGTCATAATATGAGTAATCTTTGCTCCAGTTCCCAATAAATATCTCATTTCTATCTGAGACTTTGTCAGCCTGAACTTCCCTGTCCACAGCACCATCAGATCAGCATTTTGGCCACAACCATTTAACCAGTCTTTAAGAAGTTCCAAATTTTCATCTTCCTGTCTTCTTCTGAGCCCTCCAAACTCTTCCAACCTCTGCTTGTTACCCAGTTCCAAAGCTGCTTTCACATTTTCAGGTATTTTTATAGGAAGGCTCCACTCCTCAGTACAAATTTTCTGTTAGGCTGTACTTGCACTGCTATAAAGGAATACCTAAGACTGGGTAATTTATAAAGGAAAAAAAGGTCAATTGGCTCATGGTTCTGCAAGCTATGTGGGAAGAAAGATTATGGTATCTGCTTGGTTTCTGGGGAGGTTTTCACTCACGGCAGAAGGCAAAGAGGGAGCAGGCACATCACATGGCAAAAGCAAGAGCAAGAACAGTCCAGGTGCAGTGGTTCACGCCTGTAATCCCAGCACTGTGGGAGGCCAAGGTGGGCGGATCACGAGGTCAGGAGATCGAGATCATCCTGGTTAACACGGTGAAACCTCGTCTCTGCTAAAAATACAAAAAATTAGCCGGGCATGGTGGCGGGTGCCTGTAGTCCCAGCTACTAGGGAGGCTGAGGCAGGAGAATGGTGTGAACCCAGGAGGTGGAGCTTGCAGTGAGCTGAGATCATACCACTGCACTCCAGCCTGGGCGACAGAGCAAGACTCTGTCTCATCTCAAAAAAAAAAAAAAAAAGAACAAGAACAAGAGTTGTAGAGAAGGTCCCACACGCTTGCAAACAACCAAATCTCTTGAGAATTCACTCACTATTGCAAGGACAGCACGAAGCCGTGCAGGATCTGCCCCCATGATCCAATCACCTCCCACTAAGCCCCACCTCCAACATTAGGGATTATAATTCTATGTGAGATTTAAAGGGGAAAATATCCAAACTGTATCATCACTGTGCTACAGATGGAAAAAGAGAGGCACAGAAGATTGAATTGCTTGAGGTAGTATGTGCTAAAGATGGAACTTTATCCCTGACAGTTCACTTTCAACACCCAAGTTCTTAACCCTTATGGAATCAACTCACTTTTAGTCATAGTGATTTGGGTACCATCATACTTTAGAAATTTAGAGTGTTGTGTATGTGTTGTTGAATTTTTAGGATTAACAAATAGGTGTGGTCACTTCAGCAGCACGTATACTAAAATTGGAACGATATAGAGAAGATAAGTATGGCCCATGTGCAAGGATGACACACAAATTCATGAAGCATCCCATATTTTATATGTCTATCAATTGGAAGTCATTACATGAGGAAGAGACAGCTCAGAAGTTTGTTAAAATAAGCAAAACACAAAAGCAGAAAGTATCTGAGAAAAAGTAGACGGTTGATCATCAATTTATTTCCGAACATTTAGAGAGTAGTTTAATTATTGAAACATAATCAAGGAATATTAAGAAAGCACTGAATTGCTTTAATTCTTTTAAAGATTGCCTTAGGATTTATAGTGCACATCTCTAATTAATAGTGGTCTATATTCAGATAATAGCATCTCACATGTAATATAAACCAGTAGAACAGTATATTCCACACTTTTCCCTGGTATTTTTATGCTATTGTCATTTTATGTTTTACTTGTATATATGGTATAAATACATAACACATTGCTACTACTTTTGTGTTAGACAGTTTTTTTAATGTAATTTCAATTAAAAATATTATATTATACTTAAAAAAGTATGTAAATTATTGAAAAATTATTTTCAACACAAGTCTTTGTGTTGAAAATTTTTCAACAAATAAAATAATTTTTCAGTAAAAGTTATATCTCAAGTTTTATTGTAATTTTTATTTTCTTCTCTTTCATGGAAATGATATATTTTCCACTTCTATTACCAATTTCTATCTGATAGTGTGCGCATTCTTCTTTGTTCAATTAATTGTTAGGTCTTACTGGTTCACTTCTCTTTTTGCATAAACTCTTTATAAATTATTATGTAGTATTTAACTTTTCACAATATTTGAGACCAATATTTTTCCAAAAGATTTTCTGCCATCGAAGTTTGAATGATTTTATGTACAGATGATTTTACCATTTTATTTAGTCAAAAAATATTTCCTTTAGTAATTTTTTCTCTACTCTTACAAATCTCTCTAATTCAGAGGGCAGAAAGACAGTGATCACTCCAGGCCACTGAAAGTGTGGTTGCTATCAAATGTCAAACTGAGAACGGAAGGGTGCTGGTTGGCAAAAGAAATTGAGAAGAACCATTTAGGAACTCATCTGCAATGTGACAGATAAATTTTATGCCTATTAAATCTGATAATTTGAAAATGGGGTTGATAGTTTATGTCTTTTATTGTGCTTTCCCAATAATTCAATTTTAGTCTATTTTTAAAAATGTTACCCATGATATATTTAGAGGAGAGAGAGATTTGATCTTTCACTACAGAAAGTTTGAAAATTATTGGCCTATTATTTTCTCTCCATTTTTAGCATGTGGAGAAAAAGGCAGAATAAAGAAGCTTTGCTTTTGTTTTTATTTTTTCTGATTTGTTTATGTACATACATAATTTAAATATAAGAGAAAGTTATTTTGATGTATGTTATGTCATATGTTTAACTATTATTTATTTTTAAAAATCAGAGCAGCAAGATGGCAGACTTGGAAACTCCAAGCTCTCACTCCCCAACAAAAACATAAAAATAAATAAATAAATAAAAAACCCAGAAGTTATCTGAACCACCTTTAAAGAATCTCTGGAAAACAGTCACGGGTTTACAGCAAGCCAGTAAATGCCCTATCAAGAAAAACCTATTGTCACAATGGTAGGAAAGGTGTGTGGCACTTTCACTCTTACTCTCTCTATTCCCCAGCACAGCAGTGATCTGGGTCTTCAGCAGAGGGCAGCCTGGTCCCAGATCCCACCCGTCATTGCATAAGAGGGAGCAAAGCAGACTTCATTGCAAATCGTTGTGTTATGTTTCTAACCTGTCTGGGGACATCTGACAGATTGACACAAGACACTCATCTCTGTTTTGTATAATTCCAAATGCAGGTGATAAAAGCGGTTGACGCTGTTCATAAAAGCTACAAGGTGATGACAAGCTCACAGGTGTCTGAGGCAAGAGATTGCAAGTAGAGATATAAAATAGGCCGTCAGAGTTCCAGAAGAGATGCTTAATGAGATGCTTTGGGGGAATCTGAACATCAAGTGCAGCCATATATCCAGGAGAATTTAGAAAGCCATGTGAGTGCTCAAGAGAGCCACGTGCTCAGAAAAGACCTGAGAAGACCTTCTGCTTTCACTTGCTTAAGCAAGCCTAGCCTAGAGATGCAGGGTCCCAGCACACAGCCAGTCTTCAGAGGCTGCCTTGCAGCTCCTGCCTCTGTTTTGTTTTGTTTTGAGCGTATGTGTGTGTGTGTGTCTGTGTGTGTGTCTTTCATTGGTTTGCTTGCTTCAGCTCCTGATTTTTAAAAAATCTCTGTTTAAACATTAGCTGAACATGAGCTAAAGAAACAGAGACTCCAGTGATTACACATGACAAGAAATGATTTTTGCAAAAACAGTTTGGAAAAGTCTTATATGGGCTAATACAGCCTTCAACAATAAAAATAAAAGCAAATCCTGAGGAAGAGGGAGAATCTGATTTCCAGAAGTACCACATTAAAACCATCAAATTCCCAATTTCCAACAACAAAAGTTACAAGACACACTAAAAAACAGAAGATGGCTCATTCAAAATTCCCAAATACATTCAAAATAAATTGAAAGAAACCATCTCTAAGAAAGTATGCATATTAGACTTACTAGAAAAACACCTTAAAACAACTGAAAAAGGAAAAGAAGAGAAAATATTTAAGATACTAAATTCAGAAATGAAAATTGAGACATTTTACGAATTTTGCAGAAATAAACAGATTAAAAGAACATTTTGAACAATTATACACCAACAAGTGGGGTAGCCTAGATGAAACAGGCACGCAATCTGCCAAAACCAAATCATAAAGACACAGAAAATCTGAATAGACAGATAGCTAGTAAGGAGCTTGCCTCAAAATAAAACACCCTTCTACAAGATAAAAAAGCCCTAAGCCAAACAGCTTCAATGGTGAATTGTACCAAACCTTTAATGAAGAAATAACACTAATTCTTTTCAAACTCTTGCAAAAAAAATTGAAGCAGAAAGAGCCCTTTCAAGTTATTCTATGAGGCCTGCTTTACCCTGATACCAAAACCAGAAAAAAATGCTACATGAAAAGGAGACTACATATAAACATTTCTTATGAATATTGATGGAGAAATCTTCAACAAAATACGAACAAACTGAACTAAACAACAGATTAAAGCAATTGTAAACCATGACCAAGTGGGATTTATTACTGGAATGTAAGAAAAGGTCAACATATCAAAATCAATCACTGTGGTATATGAAATTAATAGAATGGAAGGGAAAAAAATCACATCATCTCAATTGATGTACTAAGAAAGCACTTTACAAAATTCAACAGGTTTTCATTATAAAAATAATAATCTAAGAATGAAAGGGTCTTCCTCAAAATGGTAAGTGCCATACGTAACAACCCACATCTAACATCACACTCAATGGTGAAATGGTGAAAACTTTTCCCTGATAATTAGCACAAGACAAAGATGCCTGCTTTCACCACTTCTATTTAAGATCATATTGGAAGTTCTAGCAAAAACAATTAGACAAGAAATGTCATTGAATGTGGAAAGAAGGAAGTAAAATTGTGTCTGCGGATGATGTAATCTTTTATGTTAAAAAACCCTAAAGATTACACACAACATACACACACAAAATTGTTACAACCAATAAAAAAAATCCTGCAAAATTGCAGGATATAAAATAAACACAAAAAAGTCAGTTACATTTCTATGAACTAGCAATGAAAGATACAAAAATTTCAAAACATTTCCGTTTATAAGCACATCATAAAAAATAAATATTAAGAAATAAATTTAACCTAGGAAGTGAAAGACTTGTATACCAAGAACTACAAAGCATTGTTAAAAGAAATGAAAGACATAACAAGTGAGAAGACATCCTGTATTCATCAACCAAGACTTAACATTGTTAATATGATAATGCTACTCAAGTGATATACAGATTTAATGCAACACCTATTACTATCCCAGCAGTATTTTTTGCAGAAATAGGAAAACTCATCCTAAAATCCATATGGATTCTCACAGGTTTTCAAGTAGCCAAAACAATCTTGAAACAGAAAGAAAAGTTGGAGGTCTCACACTTCCTGATATCAAAATATACCAAAGTAATCAAAACAGTGTGGTACTGGCATAAGAAGAGTCATATAGACCAAGGAAATAGACTAAATAGTCTTGAAAAAAACCCTCCAATATGTGGTCAATTAATTTCCAACAAAAATGCCAAGACCATTCATTAAAAAAAGAATATTTTTTTCAACAAATGGCCCTGGTCAAAAAGAATATCCACATGCAAAAGAATAAAGTTGGACCCTTGTCTTATGCCATATATAACTATTATCTCAAAGTAGATCAAAGATCAAAATGTAAAAGCTTTGCAAACCATATGCCTGATAAAGATTAATACTCGGAATTTATAAAGAATTCCTACAACTCCACAAGAAAAGAAAAAATAACAACAAATAACCAAATTTAAAATATGCAAAAGATGTGAATGAACATTCCTCCAAAGAATGCATACAAACGGCCAATAAGCACATGAATCCTTTAATGTGCCTATTGATGTTATATGCTTATTAACATCACTAGTCATTAGGGAAATGAAAATAAAAACCACAAAGGGATACCACTTCACAGGCTTTGGAATGGCTACTATTTAAAACAATACAAAAAATAGCAAGGGCTGGTGAGGATATGGAGAAAATGGAACCCCTGCACATTACTGATGGGAATGCAAAATGGTGCAGTTGCTGTGGAAAATAGTTCAGTGATTTCTAAAAATTAAGAATAGACTTATCATATAATTCCACTTCTAGGTATATACTCAAAAGAATTAAAGGTGGAGAAACAAACAGATACTTGTACACCAATGGTTAAAGCAGCATGATTAACAACAGCCAAAATGGGGAAGCAACTCGACTGTCCAACAAGGGAATGCAGAAACAAAATGTGGTATGTACATGTTATGACATGTTATTCAGCTTAAAAAGGAATGAAACTATGACACATGCTAAAACATGGGAGAACCTGGAAAAACATTATACTAAGTGAAATAAACCAGATGCAATAGGACAAATATTGTGTGATTCCA